ATAACAAGATGTACTTGACAATCTTAGCTAGGCAATGATCGACTAATGAGTTCAGATCGACGTTTCATGCGGACGTGTCCATATCGACGTCGGATCGACGGGCTTGGTACAAAAGATCGAAAAGACGAGAGGATAGTTGGTACGATGTAAGCTCTTGACCAGCAAACTTTTGTTCATTAAAAGTCGTACAAAGATGGTCATTAAGCGACGCGGACGGTTTTTAAGTCCCTCATCTCGAGCGACTATACAAACTGCAAATGGTTCTGACCTGAATTATTGTTCCTACATATTAGCCTTCTTCTGCCGGGTATCACTTGTTCGTATCGACAAGACTGACTCAGCAAGATTCAAACGGTATGTTTCACCCGCTCATGACAAAGGCTATGGCGACAAGTTGACAGCTGCGTTACATAATCCCGAAATGCATTATGTATAATGCGGTCATATCAAGCATGAAATACTTTATGCCCCGTTGGATAGCATATTGACAGAATTGGAGATCTACAAATGGTTTCGTTCACTAGGTACTCGCATTGCCTTTTGGGCGGTGATGCTGATCGAACGTGCCCGGCGCGTATCACCTTAAGTGTGCGCACTAAAAACATTTGGAATGATTGCGAAAACGATTCGGGATCAAGAACGCCCCCATTATTGAGTAATGTCATGTCGATAACGCTTTAACGATTGAAAAGGTGGGGTTGATCCAGGTACGCGAGCGACCCACTTTATCCTCGCCAAGGTCAAATAAATAACCGTACATACGTCAGCTAATGATCATATGTAAGCAACTAGTTTCAGAAGGATGATCGATCTACGCTGCGCAACTTGTTGTCGAGTGTTGGCCTGAACTGTTGTAGTCATACTGGGGCCACACAGATCGGCCTGTTCGTGCATTGAAGTTTCTCGCCAGTGAATGCCATCGCTGTCGAGGAAGGTCGCAAATGTCTTGACACACAACACTGCTTATAGACGGTATGTGCACCTAAGTGGAAATGCAATTGGTCATAGCAACATTGACCACACGATCTGCCACCTTGCTGTAATCACAGCTACAATGACCCTATCATACGACGCCGACAACTTGGGCAAATCCCCGTGTTTCCGATACAGTAGTGTCAAGCGATGCTCGCACGGGGAACGGCTTGGGGTAGGAAGAGCAAAATAGAGCTGTCCCCGACGACATGAAGCAGAGAATTCCCACTTGCCGTCGCCTGGTAAAGACTAGTACAAGGTCTCTGTACTATCTTACGCTGTTGGTGGTTGATGCATGGCAGTATGCCACGCTCGCCATCCACATGATGCAAGCCGCGTGCGTCGGAATATGAACACTAACAATGACGGATCCAGATTCTCCTGAACCATGATATATTGGAATTGAGCGTCCAAGAAAAGATGGTGAAAAAGTCGGTTCGGTCGTCTCTGTGCAGCGGTTGCAGTAGGATAGGAGCAGTGTTCGATGTAAAGTATCCGAATAATTCGATCGCACATGTGAACCAGATTGAGTCCTTCCACTTCAGCAGTGTGTGTTGGAAAGTCGAGTCTCGGAAGTGTGTGATATCTCGACAAAGATTGGTATGTGCTCTGTCGGTGTGACTTTCGTTTGATTAGTATAGTCCTCCATGAGGTATAGCTGCTCTATCCAGATAACATGCATCATCCGCTATGATAAACAATACAACTCACACGCAGCGGAAACGAAAGCAATACTGTACTTATCCTGATCTTTGATCCGCCCAAAGACAGGTTTGTACGCGCCTGAAGCCGTGCTCGGCATATCGGGGAAGTTTTTTCGTTTCGAATACTAAAACATGTTAGCTTGACTCCTCGAAATTGATGATACACTGCCACATAGAAAGAAGCTGAGTCCAATACCGTTGTGCGCTAGGGCAGACCCAACAGACATGACTTGCCAAAGAGGATTAGTCACGGTCACGCACGACAAGTCACGCGAAGCCCAATTTCATCGCTTACAGCCGCTGCTTTTCACCCGTTAGAGTTCTGAGCGCCCGTAAAAATAGTCGCCCGTATCTGCCGTAGCCTGCCTTACTCTACCATATCCATACCGATAGATAATGTATAAAGGTCCGGTCTTGTCTCTCTCTTATCGCGATATAGCTCACGTATTGCTTATAGACAACGTGGAATCAGCTTCTCGAACCGTCTTCTTTGTGTCCGCCATCGTCTATCGCCCGCTGGAAGGTGAACAATCCGATTGAGCTATAGATGAGGGACAAAGTGAATGGAAGAACCAATGTTTTGAGTAGCAGCGCGGTCGCATCGAACCAACAGGTGGTGAGTCGCATATCAATTTCGCGTCAAAGTAAGAGATCCTGGAAACCCATCTCGTCAGCGAGTGTCTGAGAGCGATTAGGCCTGTAAGACGCCTGCCCGCCCAGAAATACCATTTAATTGTGTTGATATCTTGTCGCTACTCGTGATAAGAATAGATGAGAAAATGGACTAGACAGCACATTTGTTGCACAATGAGTTGCTCCTTTAGTAATGTGCTTTGTGCCATGTGTGGTCAAAAGGGGGATGGAAGGATTATCTGAAAAGGTGCAAAAGGTGGAAACGAGACGATACATTAGCGATCTGACGGTGGACTGGACCCAATGGCTTGGCCAACTCCAAGCATGCAATGACCAAGTTTGATGCAGACTATCACACTTTCGATGCGTCTGACCCATCATATTGCTTTGTCGATGGTTTGGCAATTGACATGTTCCGCACAGGCGATGTCGATGAGACAAAGCTCGTCCCGGTGTTCACGCGCCGATCTTCCGTCGACGACATTTGTTTTGGCGGCCGCAGCCTCGAAGAATGTCTCCCGATTTACAATTATTTGTTGGAGCGATTCACCGAGCGTCGGAATGGCATCAGCTTTACCGAGATTGTTCGTCCAGACTCGTGTCAGTTTCCTCTCTCTTAGTTTGAGCTCGCAGAATATCACGGCTGATCCAGCGAAGTCTGCAATGATAGCAGGCCATTATTCTCCAGACATTTAGAAAGGAATACAAGCCTTCCTGAAGCACTTAACGACTACGGTCGTATTATCCAGAAATCTGCTTTCTATAGGCGGTCATCTATCAGCTCTAAGCGGAGAATTGCACTGATCCGACGAAAATTACGGCTGCACGTGCCATCTTAGCGTTACTCAAGATAATGATTGCCGCGGCACCGATCTTCGGCCATAGCTCGATCCAGCAAAAGGCGCTCATGTACTGTTATGCGAATGCGTGGCATTTGGTGCACGTCGATGTAGAATCATCCTCAGACACACACTTCATTATACGTATGACCACTAGTCCTTTTGTAAGCTACGTTCACACGTCATTGATCCCAGGTCCACGCACGGTCCCGTACGCACCCGAAAATGCTCCAGCGACAGAACGCTGCCGACTCATAATAAGGATTGCGCGTCTTTGCATAAGCTGTATAGCGCAGAAGTCTAGCGAGACAAGAAAACCATCAGCAGCAAATTTACGGCTCTCGCACAAAACCATCATGATTTAGTCAATGATATCATACCCCAATGCAATATCTACTGACAACATTCCGAAAATGTCTCGAGAAGCTGTTTATGATGCTGAGTGAAAGCTGACCAAATGTAGCTATACCGCGAAGCGCAAGCCGTTGCGCAAGAAACATTCTGCACATCCACGAATCGATTTTCGGCTACTGAGGAAGAAGATGGTGCGTCATAAAGCCGACAGTACGCCTGACGACATCCCATATCGTACCAAAAAGACCAAAGCTTGCTTTAAGCTGTATTGCCTGACGAGTTTGTAAACCCGCCATGAAAGTGACATACCTTGTCCATGGCTGAAATGCAGTCGACATATCTGGTGCTGGGATGAAGTGTTGGTTGACATCATGTCTGGACTTGGCCAGCACGATGTCATTGTGATGGTTCGTCACGAAGCTCCGCGACATTTACACAAGCCGCTTCACAGCGAGCAGTTTGTGCACCATCAACGATCGCGACAAGCCTCAGACTATCGTCAACATCATTACAAATACGGGAGACACCCATGGTGCATGCATAAATAAGCGATCGAAGTTTAGCGCATACACACCCACGTGACCACTCGCCCATCACCTCATCACGCCCGTCGCCTTGGTTGCCTGAAAGCAGTCATGACTTGTCAACGTCGTGAATGGTCATGTCATGATATAATCTACCGGACGCGTCGGGCTGATCAGCAATACTAGAAGTACTAGGCTTCCGACTTGAGATGTGCAACGTGCTGACTGTTTCGGTCGAAGTGCAATCGATAGGCTGCTCAGAGCGTGTGAAGTTGTCGTCCACTCGGCATCATACACCTCCTCAAAGCTACGCGCCAGTGCCTTCTGACTACAACATCGAACGAGCTGAACAATGAGTGGCGAAGTACAGACGTTAAGGTATGACACTAGAGTGCCCTGCTTGGCTTGAAATGATCATGTATCATTTGGATTGAGCGATCGACAACGTCAAGTCCATCTCGGGGTCCCCAATATCTTCTTGCAACACACGTGAAAACAAGTACTTCACGACCTCTATCGTCTGCTTAGTAGCTGCTTTCTGAGCAAAGGAAAGATGACCACAAGTCCTCCAGTGCATCAGGAGCCTATAAAGGACACAGAGTTGGGTGTCGTCGTCGCCGTAGACGTGTGCTCTGCTCAGCTGGACAGCAAGTGTCCTAATGTGATCTTCCCACTAAATGATAGCGCCGAGATGCTCGACGTCTTGCTGTGCATTCGGTCCGTACGTCCGGCAACGCGAGCAAAACGCGCAGATGAAAGGTATCGACGATACGAGTTGCCGCAAGAGCCATTGCACGGTACAGCGCCAAAGGGCAGGTCGGACGCTGCAGCGAGCAAGTTGAAGCTCTCGTTGTTTCTCTGTCGAATGGTCGGGAGCACCCGAAGCGCAACATATGCGCAACATAGTCACTATCGTGGGATGGCTCAGCGCACGACTGGTAGAGAACCCATTGCGCGCGTCGGATACCCCAAGTATGGGCAAAGCTGTGACCGCGCTAAAGAGCGCGCCCCGTCGGCAGCTGCAGGCGCTGGCCATGGAGATGAAGCTGTGTCGAGGCAACGCCAAGTCGGATGTGATCCTGAGCCACGCGCTGCAGTATCTGGACGAGCACCCGCGCGACGGGGAGCAGCAGATGCTGAACGTGCTGAGCAGCATCGAGATCGCGTCGTCACCCGCGGCCAAGACAGTGACTATGAAGAGGGGCACGAAGCGTGAAGTGGAGCCAGAGGCAGAGCCGGAGGACCCGACAGTCATTGAGGCTACGCGCGTGTGCAGGAAGACGATGCAGTTGACGCCAACGGATTCGAAGCCGAAGAAGACGCTGAAGCGAAAGCACTCGCCGTCGCCTATTGCTGGTGACAAGTCGCCACATACCTCTGCTTTAGCCGCTGAGGACACTTGTGGCGAAACCAAACAGGTGACGCCAACGGGTACGAAAAAGATGAAGACGACAAAGAGCAAGCACTTGCCGTCTCCCACAGTTGGTAAGGAGTCCCCGCAAGCCACTGCGTCGCCCATTGAGAGCATTGGCAGGGAGAAGAAGCTGGTGACGCCTATTGACACGAAGAAGAAGAGGAGCGCAACAGCAAAGAGCAAGTCGACGCCATCTCCTGCAGCTGTCAAGAAGTCTCCTCAAGCAAGTGCGTCACCCGCAGAGAGCGCCAGCAATGATGACAAGCTGGTGGCGCCGGTCGATACGAAGAAGAAGAGAGAGCGCAACAGCAAAGAGCAAGTCGACGCCATCTCCTGCAGCTGTCAAGAAGTCTCCTCAAGCAAGTGCGTCACCCGCAGAGAGCGCCAGCAATGATGACAAGCTGGTGACGCCAGTCGATACGAAGAAGAAGAGGAGCGCAACAGCAAAGAGCAAGTCGACGCCATCTCCTGCAGCTGTCAAGAAGTCTCCTCAAGCAAGTGCGTCACCCGCAGAGAGCGCCAGCAATGATGACAAGCTGGTGGCGCCAGTCGATACAAAGAAGAAGAGGAGCGCAACAGCAAAGAGCAAGTCGACGCCATCTCCCGCAGCTGTCAAGAAGTCTACAACTACCTCCGTGTCCGTGTTGGATAGCGCTGGCAGTGATGGCAAGGTGTTGGCGTCTACAAACACGAAAACAAAGACAACGAAGGGCAAGCAGACGTCGTCAGCTGTAGGTGCTAAGAGGCCTTCCTCTACCACTGCATCATCCGCTGAAAGATCGAGTCTTGGCGAGCAGCCTTTGCTTACGACAACGAAAGGGCTTGCGAGCAATCAGAGACCAGTGCCTGCAGAAAAGGTGGTTGGTCTTAAGAGAGAGAAGCCTATTCCAACCAGCAAGAAAGGTGCATCCGTCGGCAAAACGACAGAGATCGAGCCGCGTTCCTCAGTGGCAGCCCTTGTCGAGTCTACGGCTGATTTGACATTCATCGGCGAATCGCGAGTCCGCTGCTCCACTACAGGGCACGAGATGGTCGCAGACGTGAACGTCATCACCACGTACTTGCACGGCAAGCGGTACCAGAAAGCACGTAGGCTCAAGGTCTCATTTGCAAAGTACGCGCCAATGTTTGTGGATCACCCGGACGAGCACAAGCCGGGCATGTTGTGGTGCAATGTGACCGACTCCGCCATTGCTCGTGACGAAATGCGCGTAAAGGACCACATTGGCGCTTCCAAGTACCAGAAACAGCTACCGATTTGGAAAGAGCAGGAGGCGGCAAAGGCGAAGAAGGCAGAGGAGATGGCAATGAAGGCGAAGAAGAAGGCGGCAGAGGAGGCGGACGAGACTCGTCGTCACGCCGCTCGCACGAAAAAGATGGCAGCCAAGAAGAGGAAGCGATCCGGTAAGAGAAACGGCGAAGAGGCAGTGGGGCACAAGCGACAAAAGCTCTCGGCCGTGACTGAATCGGACAAGTAGAAAACGAGCCAAAGTCCTGCAACGAAGAAATGGGTCCATGTCGATAGATTGTTGCCACGGGCGCCATGTGCATCACATCAGCAGCAGCAGTAGCAGCATCTGAAACGACCTAGTTTTTAAGTATCGAACGTTCTGGAATAGGCCAGTGGTAAACTAAAACTGGGTCCTCACTCAACTGCGCTCGCGCGTGGCACTTGGATATTGTCGGCTGTAGTCGCACACAGACTAATGTTTGGAGGAGACGCTGCGCTGCCGTTCTCGCGGCACTCGGACGTGCTGCACGGCCCCGTGCCAACGGACGCCGTCGAGCTGGAGCGCCTCGTGGCCGAGCTCAAGCGCCGCGGGAATGCCGCGTTCCAGCAAAAGGTGCTGCAAGAGGCCGAGGTGCTCTACACGAGGGCCATTGCCGTGACCGAAGGCTCGTCGCTGCCCAATCGGCACATCTTCTATGCCAATCGCTCGGCCGCTCGCTGCGCCATGGGCAAAGCGGACCAGGCGCTGGAGGACGCAACCGTCTGCGTGGCACTGGACGCCACGTACGCCAAGGGATTGTTCCGCAAAGCGCAGGCGCTTGTCCAGCTGGAGCGCTACAAAGAGGCGCTCGCTGTGCTGGACGATGCAAAGGCGCTCGAGTCGAGCAACAAGTCGGTTTCGGCGCTGTACGTCAAAGTGCAAGCGCTGGCTGAGAAGCAGAAAGAGGCACCGGCTGTGGCGCCGTCCAAGCAAGTTACGACGACGCGTGGGAACGAGACGCGGTCTGCTGCTTCTGCTGCTCCTGCTGCTTCGGCATCGACGGCTACTTCTGCTGCTGACGCTACGGTTGTAGAGGACGATGTAGAGATTGTCGGTCACGTCCGTGGCTACAAGAAGTTGGCCGACGGACGCGTGACCACGTTCTTTAACAATGAGCTCACGGAGGAAGCCAAGCAGCTCATTGGCGACATTGCTCCGAAGAAAGTGGACGACCTCCATGCGGTGCAGATCAAGAGCGTGGACGGCGGATCTGCTTGGAACCAGGGCAACACGTTTGAGGAGAAGGACATGACAACGTGGGCCAAAGCCAAGCTCGAGACGCTCGTTTCAGGCGTCTCGGCTCCTCTAGGCCCCGGCGGTGATGGCGTCGTCACTTCGGTCAAAGTGTCGGATCTAGAGGGTGACGCATCGATTGCAGTCGTGCGTGGCGCTAAGCGCTACATCTTTGACTTTGCGTTCACCCTGGCGTGCACGCTGACGCAGGGCGACAACGTCGTGACGGGCGACCTCAAGTTTCTGGACCTCAGCTCGGATTGTGGAGGCGACTACGACGTCGAAGCTGTGGTTGCTTCTCGTTACCAGTCGGAAGGCGGCAAAGCGCTGCATGCGGCACTGAACTCGACGGCGTCGCCGTTCCGCCAGGCGCTTGCTGCCCAGCTGGCGATCTTCGTACAGGAGTACCACACGTTCTGATCGAACTAATTTACACGGACGTCAAGCGTGACGGACCGAATGAACATGCTTCCAGTATACCGGTTTTCTGCTGTATCTGATTGTTTGCTGCAAAGTTTACTACTGGTCATGACTGCGTGAGCCAACAAATAGGTTTTGACAGGTCCCACCAGTAGTCCCCGTCGTGGCCGTGCACTCCGAGACTTTCGTGTTTGCAGCACACTTTGACACAGTCCAATGGCATCGACTGTCGACGTAGCATCCTCCTGCACTTCTGCAGAGACAGAGGAGGCTGGCAAGACGATGGTGGCGCTGGGTGGTACCCAGAACATGGCGTGGGCGTCAGACACGTCCAAGTTTGGCTTCAAGATGCTGGTCAAGATGGGCTGGTCGGCCGGCAAAGGCGTGGGCAAGGAGTTGCAGGGTCAGGCGTCACACGTGAAGATCTTGCGACGCTCGGAGAATTTGGGTGTGGGCTGCAGCCTCAAGCAGGCCGAAATGAAGGGCTGGTCGGAGACAGTCGAGGGCTTTGCGGGTGTGCTGAAGACGCTCAACGAGTCGTACAGTAACAAGCCCAACTTGGACGGCGACAGCTCTGACGGAAGTTCGAGCAGCAAGAAAAAGAAGAAGGACAAGAAGAGGAAGCACAATGACAAGAAGAAGGACAAAAAGAGCAAGAAGAGCAAGAAGGCGGGCACGGAAAAGACGTCAGTCTCTCGGAAGCTGCACTATCGGAAGCGCCTGACAAACAAAAATGCCAAGAACTACGGAGTAGCTGACATGGCAGCTATCTTGGGCGTTGCTGCTTCAGCCTACAAGTCAAGCGCAGAGTAGAGAGCTGGTAGACGTTGTTGCGCTGTTCGCATCTGCTGCCAGCGCCGTGCACATTGTCCGAGACTTATTTACGAGCCTTGTGGGCCATTTATTATGCATCGACTACATTCGTGTCCAAGACACGTTTTTGCGTGTCGTCCAATCAGATGATAGTGTGCGTGTTTTTGCGAATCGTCAAACACAAAATCCATAGCGCGCGCTAACGATAGCGTTAGAGTCACCTCTATCTTTCCATCACGCGGCCACCCGTTAAGTCAAGAATTGCTGGCCAGTGGTTGCGCAGACGGCACGGCACATACCTATACCATGGCGAGCGTCTTCGTGCGCAACCTGCCGTTTGGCGTGACGCAGGAAGAACTGGAGCACGTGTTCAGCGACGTTGGGCCCGTGAAGAAGATCGACATCATCAAGGACAAGGGCAAGCGGCGAGACGAGATACTGACGCGCGGATTCGCCTTTGTCAAGTTGTACGTGCAGCTTCTTCGCCCCGGGAGCTCTCTGCTGGTCGTCTACGTATTGTAGTGCTGTGGATATTGGGAACTGATATGTGCAATGGTCTGGTGGCTGTTGCAGTGCAGTTGAGAGCGATGCGGCGGTGGCGGTTCAGACGCTGAACAAGACGGACTTCCAGGGTCGCAAGATGCTCATTGGTTCGGACACTTGAATGACCATTGCCACTGAGGAAGACGGAGCGTGTGTCGCTTATCGAGTGCATGTGGTTGATATGTAGACTATGCGATGGAGAAGGGCAAGCGCAAAGGACTGGGTGGGCCGGTCAAGTCGGTAGGAGCTGGGGAACCCAAGCAGGAGAAGGAAAAGAAGGAAAAGCTACAGATACAGGAAGACACGCATATGAAGGAAACGGAAGTAGCGAAAGACAAGACCGATGAGGACCGCGAGGCGGCGAGCAAAGAACGTCGCATAGCCAAGAGTGCCAAGAAGGCAAAGATCAAAGTGGGCGCGACGTCTGCTGCGGTTGAACTGGTTGAGGCGACAGAGCCAGCCAAGATCACGCAGACAGCAAACGTCGAGGTCAAACCTGCCCCAAAAGATAGTGCGGTGGCTGATCCGAGTACGCAGACGACGACGACGCGCGCGCAGAGCGAGCGTAATGCTCGCCGTCGACAGTATCGTGAGTCACTGCGTGACGCTGAGCGCCGTCGAGAGGAGCAGGCAAGCGTGGAAGAGAAGTCTGTGATCATTTTTGGCTTGGGTGCGAACGTGACGCAGAAGCATGTGCACAAGAAGGCAAAGAAAGTCGGCGCGGTGGAAAAAGTCGAGCTGAAAGAGGAAGCTCGCACCGGTAAAGTGTACGCTTTCGTCCAGTTCAAATCCACAAAAGATGCGGCGCTGGCTGTGGCCAAGCTGGACCACCACATATTCAAGGGCTCGATGCTGCAAGTGAAGAGCGCAGCAAAGGCCGTTGTAGCGGACGATAAAGAAGCAGCAGGAAAATCTGGTCGCATGAAGCGTGCTGCTGAGGCAGAAGGGCTGCGTCTGATCGTGCGTAATTTGGCTTTCCAGACCACGGACGAGGATCTGGAGAAGCTTTTCGTAGTGCATGGCCCGCTGTTTGAGGTTCGCGTTGTGCGCATGCCAGTGGGAGAAGACGAAGCGAAGAGCGAAGAGACCGACAAGGATGCTGCAAAAGCGGGACCCGCACTGGGACGAAGCCGCGGATTTGGCTTTGTTCAGTACCGCGATGTGGCCGATGCGCGTGTAGCTGTCGAGAAGCTGAATGGAGTCAAGGTCAAGGGTCGTGAGATGATTGTGGATTTCGCATTGTCCAAGACAAAGTATCTTGAACAGCAAAAGAAGCAGGAGGAGGAAGAGGCACTTGCTGGTGCTGCAGCAGTGGAGGATGATGAGCAGGAGACAGAAGTGAATAGCGGTGACGAAGATGACGATCAGCTCGAAATGGACGTTGGCGATGAGGTGGGCGATGATTCGGACGGTCTGAACGACGACGACGACGAAGAAGAAGAAGAGCACGCGAAAGGTGCTGCTCTGGCTTCGAAGGAGGATACGGAAGCGCAGCGTGAACGGACGCTTTTCATCCGTAATCTGTCGTTCCAGACGACGGAGGATGGGCTACGCGACTTTTTCCAAGCGTTTGGTGCGGTTGAGTATGCTCGCATCGTGTACGAAAAAGGCTCCAATCTGTCCAAAGGAGTCGCATTTGTGCGCTTCAAGTCAGCCGATGTGGCGGCGACAGTGTTGAAGCGCGGTGAACAGCCACAAATTGACAGCAGACAGAAGCCGAAAAAGGACAGAAAAAAGGACAATGTCTTCACGCTGTCTGCACTAGCGGACGGTGGCGCTGATGCGTTGACGCTCGACAGCCGTCAGCTCATCCTGTCGCGCGCAGTGTCAAAGAGCGACGCGGAGCGCATCACTGATGTCAATGCTCGTGAGCGTCGTCGTCTGGACAAGCGGAATCTGTACCTGGCGTACGAAGGCACAATTAACGTGAACAAGATGGCGGATGCGGAGCTCGAGTTACCGAAAATGGACATTGATAAGCGCCGACGCGCGATCCGTGAGAAGAAGCTGAAGCTGCAGAACCCGATGTACTTTGTGTCCCCCGTGCGTCTCTCTGTGCGTAATTTGTCCACCACGCTGGACGATCGCGCACTGAAGAAGCTCTTCCACGATGCAGCCAGTGCCGGCATGCGCGCTGGGAACGTGAACCGTCTCGAGATCAAACCGGAGCTGCTTTCGAAGGAGGGAGACGCTCCAGTAAAAGTGCGCATGGCCAAGGTGGTGCGTGACATGGAATCAGTGAAGGCTGGGAAGGAGCCGCGGTCGCGCGGGTACGGGTTTGTGGAGTTCTCCGAGCACTCGCACGCACTAAGTGCTCTGCGTATTCTGAACAACAATCCCAAGTACACGTCGTACGCAGCTGGTCGCGCTGCAGCTTCCGGTGCGCCTGCTAGCTCGATCTCCCGCCTTATTGTGGAATTCGCGCTCGAGAATCACGGCAAGCTGAAGCTGCGTGAGAAACGTGCTGCCGACGCTGCCAAGAAGCGTGAGGAAGAGCGTGCGCTGAAGAAAGCACAGGGTGAGGACGGCAAAGACGCTGAGAAGGTAAAGAAAAGTCGCGGTCAGCGTCAGCGCGAGAGCAAGAAACTGCGTGCCGAGGACAAGGCTGCAGTGAACGCCGAGGCCGAGGGTGGACAGACGAAGCCGAAGCGAGCAAGAGAGGAAGTGAAAAAAGTGAAGCAGCAGCCACCGGCGCCGCCGAAAAAGCGGAAACGTGCTGAAGCTCCGCGTGGTGACGCCGAGGATGATGCACTGGCTTCCCTGGAGTCAGCTCACGTGATGAAGCAGAGCCAGTCGTTGTCACGCAGTCAGCGCAAGAAGACGAAGGAGAGCACGAAGGAGAAGTCTTTCGAGGAACTGGTACAGAGCTACAAGAAGGAGATTTTTGGTGAGAAGCCGACGGCAGGAGGAGGTGGAGCGAAAGCTCTTGTGGACGAACATAGCATCAAGAGTGCCAATCGCTGGTTCGATTGAGTCGAATCCTATCTGCCGTCGCGACTCGTTTAGCCTAAGCGTCTACGTTTGGGGTTCGGTAAGCGAAAGCGTTGCGATCGTAGTTTGTACGTATGAACAGACATATAGACCGACAGCTTGTATGAACTCGCATCGGCCGTCTTTCGTTTTCGGTTGCCACGGACATCTTGCTTGACTCTTCCCTTTTGTCGCCTACAGCTCTGCGATATCTGCAGTTGCTCTTTGCTACGAACGCACTCGTTACCGTAGTGCGTTGTCCTTGTCTGCCAGATAGACGTTTGCAACCTACGCGCCAGCGATTACTGGGACACCCTGTGGCTCTCGATGTGCCCAACGATACTGTTCCAGTGTTGTGGACATTTATACGACCGTCACGAAACACCACACCATTCGCACTGTCTGAGTTGAAGACCAAGTCAAGTCATGGGGATAGCCGATAATGTGCTCGACATACAGTCGGGATCGTATTCTGCTCTGAATCGTGAGAATCAGAAAAGATGTCAGCTTTAGGGACTTCGGGCAAAGCCATATGAGTGAAGTGCGATGATGGACATCTCCGGTATGACCACTTGTGCGACGGTCATATCGTCGCGGCCATGCCTTGAATCCAGAAACTCCCTCGTCGTACCGAGGGGTTTCGCAGTGATTTACAGCCGCAAAGTGGCGGGTCTCGCGGTTTCGGTGGCGTGCCAATGTCGAATGCGGCTGGTCCGACCTCCGTCAGGGAAGCGTTCTTTCCAAGGCGTAACAACTGCCGCGTCTGAAGTCTCACTTCCAGTGAGGAAACGAAACGGTAGGAACGGTGACGTGCTGTCTCCTGCGCCCGAACGCGCGAGAGGTACACTGGACATCCCATTATCGGTCGACCACTGTCAAACAGAGTCTCGTAACGGCTCAAGCGAGAAACAAACCAAGAAACAAAAGGAGCAGAAGAAGAGCTACGAGCGCCCGTGACATATCGATACGTATGTACGGAAACACATCAATGTCAATAGCAACGGTAATCGAGTCGGCAATTCATTCAGTCTACGTAGTATCTGCTACGAAACACGGGCGTATTCACCACCACTTCCGCCCTCGCTTTGGCATGTACTCCACACGCCAATGCCTTACAACTCATTCTTGTAAAAGACAATCTCGCCGTCGTCCTCGACAAACTTGCAGTGTTTGTACGACCGCCACACCGCCAGCGGAGCAGGCGTCGTGTCTTTCAGGTAGAACTTGCCCAGCACGGGCTTCATGGCGTTCGTGGCCTCTTCGCAGTGGTAGAACGGCATCTTGGAAAACACGTGGTGGCACACGTGCGTGTCCACAATGTGGTGCACCACCGAGTCCAAGTACGGACCAAAGGAGCGGTCGACCGTGCACATGGCCCCGCGCAGCCAGTTCCACTCGCCCTCGCGAAAGTGCGGAATGTACGTGTCCGTGTGCTGGAGGAACGTGATGAGCACGAGGTAGGCGTTGACGACCACGTAGGGCACAAAGTAGAGCTTGACCATTGCAACGAGCGACAGCGCGTGCACTAAGGCCGCCAGGCCCGCGAGCGCGAGCACGAGGCCCACGTCACTGAGCACGATCATCCACCGCTCGCGGTCCGCGTAGAGAGCCGAGAAGGGGTTAAAGTGGCTCCGCGCTTTGCCCTCGTACTTTGCCGGCCCTGTGGCATTGAAAAAGAGGTACCCCGGCATCCACCCCACGACGAGCATGGACGCGATCCGGTAGAGCTGGTACAGCGGCGAGTCTTCCAGCACCTGGTTCCACGAGCCCGTGACGGCCGAGCGCGTGGCCGGGACAAACACCTCGTCGTTCTCGCAGCTGCCGGTGTTCGCGTGGTGCTTGCGGTGCGAGATGCGCCAGCTGTGGTACGGCACGAGGAGCGCCGAGTGGAGCACAAGGCCCAGGACATTGTTCACCGGTTCGCTCGCGCAGAACGACTGGTGGCCGCACTCGTGCGCCAGGACCCAAATGCCCGTGAGGTAACTGCCTTGGAAGAACCAGTAGACGGGCCAGAGGACGTACGCTGCGGCGCCTGCGCGGTCCACAAACGTCGCTGCGTACGCGAGCGCGGCACACGTGAGCACGTTCTTCACGAGGTAGTACATGGACGTTGCGAACGAGCGCTCAAAGCAGTGCGCGGGGACGGCGGCCCGCAGGTCCCGCAGCGAAAAGTGCGGCAGCTCGAGCGGCAGAGGCGCGGGGCAGCCCTCGACGTGCTTGTAGCCAGCGGCAGCCAGTTGGTGCTGCTTGGCTTCGCTCGCGGCCGCTCGTGTCAACGGGGACTCTGAGTCGGGCTTGAGGATTGCCATTGCTGAGCGACGTCAGGACAGATGAGGAAGAGAGAGAGCGAGAGAGCGAGAAGGGCACAAGAGGTGATGGACTGGTGGGCTGGTTGGTTGGTGCTGGAGAACCGGCAAATGCAGATGTGAGTGGATTGCTCGAGTGAGCGAGAGGTCAATCGCTGTCTGCTCGTGATAGGAGCAGTGCGTAGCGATGGCGTTGGCGGCCAGTGGGTTGAAAGGTCACGCGGCAAAAGATTGGGCAGGACGACGACGTACGTCAGGCGCTGCGCCTTCGTGATGTCATGCGACGGCTGTTTTGCCCAATCAGGAAGACACGTGCGTGTTTGAACGGGGAAACAGCCGTCCGCGTCGAAGTGGTCGATTGGAGAGGGTCAAGATGATGGCGGGGACGGATGATGATCGGAAGTAAGCAAAGGAAAGTTTGGGTGCCAGCGTACCACGATGTTGGCAGCGACTCTGCACATGGTTGGTATTGACACTCTGGGCCTTGTTTCTGATACGACCAAATCGGTGCGAAGACTTGCTCGTGCCTACCACGCGAAAGGAAGATTACATGCCGCGCGTGCGAGCAAGAGATGGTCGAGTTCGAAAAAGCACTTTGTCTAGCTCTTCGTGACGCTGTCATGTTCCAAAATACGCTCACAGGTTCCAAAATACGCTCACACGTTCCAAAATACGACGCTCACAGGTTCCAAAACACGACGTTCACGCGTTACAAAAGGACACTCTCGTGGGCGCTAAAAGACACCTGCTTCTCGTCGTCCTTCGAATGCCTCGAGTTTCTGCAGCGCACGCGTTTTTTGTGTCCGCGTGTTTGTCCGAATCAGATTTGGCAGCCATGTCTGGACGGTCCATTTCGCCGGACCGGTCATGTGAACCGCTCGATTCGTACTTTGTCGGACGCTCAGCGCGGCGACCACCCAATGGACCAGCCGATGCGTGCATGCTGAGCGAGCATTTAGTTCGGTTCTTTGAGTCTTTTCGGAAGCAATATCATCCCCATGTCGTCTACAGGAATCGCCGTGGGCCTGAACAAGGGGTACCCTGTCAACAAGAAGCCAGTGGCGCCCCGTCCTGCTTCTCGTAAGGGAGTAAGTGTCTGTCGCTTGTTACGCAAATTGCTGTGCTCACTTGTGGGCGTCGAATCGACTGGTGGCCGCGTGTGCGAAGCAATGCCCTGGCCGCCAGACGTTATGGGCAGTCTGACGATTGCATTGAGCACAGCAAAGCGACACGAATGCAACTGCAATGCGCTAACGAGAGTCTATGTGATTGACCTGATGGGGTTATGTGCTGCACAGCGTGCCGGCAAGAAGACGAAACTCGTGCGTGAGATCGTGCGCGAGGTGGTCGGCCTCATGCCGTACGAGAAGCGCATCCTGGATATGATCAAGAGCGGTGGCTCGTCAGCTGAGAAGCGTATCTACAAGTTCTCGAAGAAGCGCGTACGTATACAGCAGCAGCGATCTCGACTGTCTACGGACGAAGGGGCAGACTCAGTTTGTCATGCAGCAGCAGCAGCAGGAGTAGCAGGGAACGAGATCGTGGTGCTAATGTCGGCTTGTTGTGGTCGTGTGTGTGCACTTGTGTCTCTCCTCTATGTGTTCCATGGTCGATCTACAGCTGGGCACGCACCGTCGCGCGTTGATGAAGCGTGAGGAGATGAAAGCGTACTACGCTGCGCTTCGTGCCAAGGCTGCTCAACACGCTTAGGACCAAAGGATGTTGACACCGTTTCAGGATTGCGGAGACAAGGGGACCGACTTGTCAGCGGGCGCGGCGAACTCACATATCCTTACCGGCGACGTGATGAGCACTTGCGAAACCGTTGAGCTCTAGCAGAGTCGAGATCGCTCGCTGGCTTTGACTGTTTGGTCGTCGTCGCTTCATTATTCGAAAATAAAGGATTACCGATTACTGCTGGATGGATGCACGTGCGCATGCTCTCTCTCTCTCCTTCCTCTTCTTCCTCTTCTTCCTCTTCAGCTCTTCCTGACGGATCGCATGACGTCAGCCAATCTCTTCCCCGAGCGATCGCTCGCGTCGCCTCCGTCTCATGCCACAGCAGTCACACTTAGTCCAGTCGGAGCACGCAGGTCGGTCTATACCGTCACCGATCGACTCGGCGACTGCCGACGCATTTGTCGTCTGCAGTCAGTCCACTTGCAGTAAAAACCTGCACGGGCCTCGAGTGCTGATTTCCGTGTGCAGTCGTCAGTCGTCGCGAACGGGCGGACGAACGGACAGACGGATGGACCGAGCGACAGTCAGTCAGTCAGACAGACAGACGGCACACATACACACACACACGCGGGCGGGCGATCTGGAGGCAAGAAAAGCAGCAGAACTCGCGCGGAAACTCGAACTCGCAGTCGAAATGACGGCGAAAACATGCGACGGTTTGCCGGCGCGCGAGCCGTTATGCTTCGCCGTGGCCAGTTGTGCTTTTGCTCCGCGCCAGTTATAAATAGACAGTGATCCGAACGACGAGACTGTCGCCGCCGCGCCTGGCGCCACTGGAGGCGGAGGAGGCGGAGGAGGCGGAGGAGGGGGCGTGCGATCTAAGCGCGACGCGAGTCCTGCCCCCCATTGCTGCCGCCGAGCGACTGGAGCGCGAGCACGAGACAACGGAACCGCGCGCGCTCTCGGGCGGTTGCAGCGCGCCCCGACCGCCCGACGACGAGCAGCAGCGGACGATGACGTCGTCGAGTAACGAACGCGAGCAGACGACGGGTCGGACGTTTAGCAGCCATCACCACTACCAGTGTGTCTCTTGGCTATCTGCTGCCATGGGAACTGAAGCCAAAGACCACAAGCGCCAGACGCTGCTGCACTCAATAGCAGCACTTGCCCGACGTCGTCTCGGGAGCCAATCCGCGACGACTGCCCGCAGTAGCAGCAGCAGCGAGAGCAGCAGCAACAGCCGTAGCAGCAGCAGCAGCGGTAGCAGTTCCAGTGCCTCATCTCCAGCTGCATCGACGACTGGCGGTTTCGACGACGCGCGTGTCTCTTCTGCCAACATGTCGTCGACAGTGCCGTGTTCCGCCCCACATGACGAGGCTCCAGTGCACAAGGAGCTGCCGTCTGAGCCCTCTGTCCTCCCTGCCGCCCGTCGACTCCGCATGGCGCCGTTGCGTCTCTTGGCGTTGACGCGGAGTATCTTGCAGGCATCTCTGCGCGTTATGAACACGTCGGCGGTCGAGAGCGAAGCGGGCGCAGCGGCGGAGACCGAAGGAGCTGTCGAGGCGGCTGCTCGCGCAGTCGAAGAAGAGGACGACGACGGCGCCGATGGGTTCAGTGCAGACGGCGAGTCTCACGCGCTGGAACGTCCAAGCGACAGCACGGGAGGTCCGCCAGTACGTGCGACAAGCCAATGTGAAACGACGTCCAGTGACTGCACGAACGACGGGTCCATCATGTACGCTGTCGCCCTGCTCCGCAAACTGCAGCAACACGCCTGCGCCAGTGAACGCGGCGAGGCTGAGGTGCAGCGCAAGGAACTTGACCAGATCTTGCACGGCTTTATTCGTGCATTGGAGAGCATGAGCTTGACGTGGGGCAAGCGAAGCGTCAAGAACACCGTGCAGAAGCTCTTTGACGCACACTCGCACGTGTTTGACGAGAACATGCAGCACTTCTTCATCCAACACTTTCTCCATGAATCTGAGGGCGCCAAGACGTTCCGCACAGCACTGCATCGAACGAGCATGCTTCGCCGCTGTTTGGTAGCCATGTACCAGTCCGAGTGTGGCGACAGTGCAAAACGCAGCAAGAGCGTCGGCGACGACAAAGGAATCGCAGCCCGCTGCTGGAGCAATGTACTGGCACAGATCCGAAAGCCGGAAGATCACGCATACCGCCTGTTTTCGATCGAAGAATGCCCGGAAATCACGAACCCGTCCACCCTGCTTGCTGTTGAGCAGGAGATCGCCAAGATTGACGCCTGGGACTTTGACGTCTTTGCGGTAGGGCGCTCTTGTCACCGCTTGTCGCCCACGTTGGTCTCTCTGATTGCTCATTTGACTAGATCACGGCGGCTGTTCCGGGTCAGGCATTGTGCATCGTCGGTAATGCACTACTAGAGCAGTACGATTTCTGCTCTCATTTTAGGACCTCGAAAGCGCGCGTTACATCGTTCTTGCAGCAGTAAGTTCCTCCGTTGATGTTCCGGCCTTGCGTCACCATTGCTCACCATTTACCTCATCGTGATTCATTGCAGTGTCCAGCGCAGGTATTACGGCCACCCGTACCACAACGGTACGGTCCTTGTAAGCTTTCCTTCTTGTCCCGCGCTAACCATACATTGCTTCGTTGCTATGATCGTTCGACTGCAGCTGAACACGCAGCAGACGTCGCCCAAACGCTGCACCACTTTCTGACCGTAGGAAACTTGGGCAGCTTGCTGACGGAACGCACCAAGTGCACGGCACTATTAGCTGCCATTATACACGATGTCGTAAGTGCCACATGTCTCGAGAGTTTGCTCGCCAATGGTCCGTCATTGTCTGAGCATTTTCGAGTGCTTCATGACATTCATCAGGGTCATACAAGTTACAGCAACAATTTTCATATCGCTATCAACGACGACGTGGCTGCCCGATACGTGTACAGCTCTCCACTTGAGCACATGCACTGTGCATTGGCCTTTCAATTGATGAAGAACCCCCGATGCAACATTCTTCAGGGTCTGACAAAGACCGAGCAGCGAGAGGTACAGGAAGCACTGAGTACCGCTGAATGAGCCACAGACACTGACCTCCGTGCTATGTGTGTTGCCATAGACTCGCAGCGTGATCACTGACATGGTGTTGGCGACCGACAACAGCGTACACTCTGCGTGCTTGGGCAAGCTGGACAACCTCGTGAAAAGGTGCGCTGCATCTGCCGACTTCGATGCTGCGCAGCCAGCGACTCTGACAGCTGCTTGCTTCCTCTTTCACACAGATCGACTCGAGAAGGCTGGAATCACGCAGACCCGAACGATGAGCGACTGGTGCTGCAGATGGCGCTGCACACTGCGGACGTGTCGAATCCGACCAAGCCGCTGCACATCTACCTCGTCTGGGCGGACCGCATCAAACAGGAATTCTACCAGCAAGGCGACAAGGAGCGCGAGCTATTGCTGCCCGTGAGTATTGGCTACGATCGCAAGCAGCCGATTCCACTGGAGAAGATGCAGGCAGGATTCATCATTGGTATCGTTCGACCGCTCATTCTCTCGCTGAGTCTGCTGCCCAGTGCGCGATTGGGTCACTGCGTGGAGCAGCTGGACGCGAACTTGGCGCACTGGCAGCGTCAGATCTACGCGACGCAGTCGTCGTCGTCACTGGCTGCGGATGCTTGGGACGATCAAGCAGACGACGCAGCAGCAGACGACGCAGCAGCAGGCAGAGGTGCCTCTGCCCTTGAGTAGCGTAGGATAGGTAGGTAGGTAGTCTAAATTAATGAGATCAGAAAGCGGCACCGTGATCGTCCGTGTAGGTACGACGGTGCGCTTCGCCAATCACACGCGCTGGACCCCTTCCTCTGTTTTCGACCTCTCGTTTCGTTTTCGTACCCCGTCCGTTGTACCCCATCCGTACCCCCCTTCGTGTTTTTCTCATACGACAAGATGCTAAGCCTCGTGAAGAAAGTTGTGACCGGGACGACCCCTGTGGGCCGTCGTGCGCCCGCGCCGTCTCGCCTGATGAGCCAAGGCCCACCTCCTCCCGAGGGCAGTCTGGAGGCCAAGGTCCGCCACTACCTGCCGAAAGACTACCACGTACGTTGACTCTCTTGTGTCGGGTGGACGCGGAGAACTGTTGTTGGTCATTGACGGGTTTTGTTTCGGTTCATTGCGTTCCAGATCGTGTTGGCTACTTTGGGCGCATACGCGACGCTCATTATGCTGTTCAAGCTCAAGCCGTCCTCGAAGAAGAAGGAGGTTGAGGAGCATGTTGGTGGTACGTGTACTGACTGGTTGGTGGTAGCCGGTGAGAAGTGGTGATCGTAGCTGCTCACGTGTCATTTGTGTACGTTTGTGTACATTTGTGCAGCTTCCAACGTGACGTCGAACTCGACGTCCATTCCGTCGCTTTTCGACGACGAGTTCGACGAGTGGTCGAAGCTCCCGGGCAACCTTGACAAGTGGGAGAAAAGCCTGGAGACGCTTGGGAACTAGGCGCCGGTCGAACGCGCAGGCGGCAGATCTGACAGAAGACGACGCTTGTATTTTGCACCTGCTGGACTTGTTGAGGGCAGACGCGCTTGTCTGTCTACCTATCTGCCCGGCAAGTCAGTCGTTTGGACTCTGAGATATGGGCGGCCTTGGTTCATAAGATGGACTGCAGAAAGTGAACTGATGTCGCTACCTGCTGCGTTCAAGTTTTACCCTCACGCATGATGCTGTGTTCTACGCTTAAGTCTGTTGAATGAAACGGTGAGACTGCGTGCAGGTCCGATTCGCAAAGAGTGCTGCAAGTTGATGGATGAACTGCTCGAAACATTCCCCTTTCGTACTCCTCCTGTCTCACAGGTCCATCCACTGATGTCACCACTGATGCCATTCACTGATGATACCTGGCAAACACCGGGGAATGATACACGGTGGTGATATTACTATCGAGTTACGGCGAAGCGTTGCGTAAGCGTAGAAGTCTTAGCGCCTTCAACATCCAAATACACTGTTCTGGTCGATGTCATCAGTCACCGATAGAGCCGAACTCTGGCGATCCATCACCACGCAGTCGCTCGCACAGCATCGGTTCGTAGTGATCACCGCCTCGGTCGCTACCAGTCAATCGCATGAGCAAAAACCACGGCGCATGGCCCTTCGAGTGACAGATCGTGCTCTGCTGCAAGCCGACCTCGCCGCGGGGTCGGTGGGGCAGGAAAAACATCTTGCCACATCCTACTAACACGACGAAGATGTCACGCTGATACGCAGTCGCTAGCGCCTCCAGAACGAAATCATCACCCCATGCCACGCGCGAACTGTCAGGGTCATTGTCCACAGAAATAAGCCCACGGTCAGTGTAGTTCAGACCGACGAGGAAGTGCGTGTTCTCGCCCCGGCCCACCGTCATGTAGTCGCAGTAAGAGTGCGCGTCTACAATCGGCTGTGCGTACGACGTGTACACGGCCTCTGCAGCTTTTCCCCACGAGTAGCCTCTCGTCTGCAGATCGGCACACTTGTCCAGCAGCATTTTCTTATCACTCCGACGCGCGACAAACCGTCGCGTCTGCACTGGGCTGACACCCCACCCACCTTTCAACGTCGGATAGTACAGATTCTGAATAGCTTTGTTGATCTTTTGCTGCTCGTCCGAGGTGCTGGAATCGTAGTGAGCAAGGAAGAACTTGGTAGCCACTTGGCGGATCCCTTCCGGCGAGAGAGGCTCACACTCTTCCGTGTACAAAAGCAGCTGCTCCATCGACAGGAAAAGACAGTCGCCAAACGGTAGCACAGGCGCTAGATACTTGACGCTGTAGGCCGTGTCATGCGGCTCGTACGACACGCCGTCCTCTTCCAGCGCACGCAGCAGGTCGCGGCTGCTCGAGTCAATGTTGGATACACGCTGCCAGCCCATGCAGACAGTGACCGGGCGATCGACCACCGCAGGTCTCGCTGTCATCACAAACTGCTCCGTCTTAGGCCGTCGTGGCGTCAGTAGCACCTCCTTCGGTCGGGCCTAGAGCACAGCAAAAAGCAGAGAAAAAAACATTCCCATCAACAACACAGCAGTTCCGTTACGCCGCCGCTCTCGTTCCACATCCAGCCCCACCCCAACTTCCTCTTGCGCACTCCTCTACGTACCATTTGCTGGTACTGCGAGTACGCCAACAGACGCGAGTCCAGCGCGTGCTGGGCGTCCATGATGGCTTCACTGTAGCCATCGTGGACCGTGATCTGGGTCGAGGCGTCCATTGCGGGCAGAAACGGCAGCGCCACTGGCATCGCGTCCAGCTCGACCGAGTCGTCCAGCTCCGCATCGTCTTCCCGTTCTTCTTGTGCCAGTTCGACGCTGTCGTCCGAGTCGCCAAACGTCGCGCTCTCGCACGGAGACGTCGTGGTCGACGTCGCCTCGCCCAGAGACTTGACTACCTCCTGTGGCACGCCACGCGCTTGCGGGGCGCCCGTCGTCTTCTTCGTCAGCACAAACACGTACTCCTTCTCGTCCTGCATGCTGCTCGCGTCCCTTGGGCGGCACACTGACTCCTTTCGCGTCCGATCGAAACGGTCGTTCTCTCTTTGAGCTGCGCCTTGGACGGAGAACAATCGCGCGCGTTTTTCCGATGTTGCGAGAAGGTGGACCACGCAACATGTCCAAAACCTCAGCGCTATGACAAGTTTTGCGTCGGAGTCCTAAGCAAAAGACTGGACATAGCATAACGGGTGTGCTGGTCAGCGGTTATCGAATCACGATATGATGTGAACTGAAGTCTGCAGTTTAGCTTTTGCTTTGCACAAAAGAGCTCATGAGAATTTACGTTCTGGCATGGCTACATGAAAAATACATCGGACTACATCTTCGCTTAGGTCCTCTTCTACGCAAGATAAAAAGGTCAAATATTGTCCCAACTAGCAAGATGCCGCCCGACCGATGCGTCGAGAATGGATCATGAAAGACTGGTCTTTTGTACATCTACCGTGAAGTCTCTGGCTCATCGCCTTAGCTCATTTGTATAGCTTGCTACACCTTCCAGCCACATCTCCGGCTAAGAATGCGCTCTTGTTGCCTCAGCTCGTCTGGGCAGTCTTGCATTTGCATTTAGACAAGCTAAGGCAACAAAAGTATCTCCATGCATGTCCATTCACACCTATCCAAGTGGTCAGTCAGAGGGCATCGTTTTGGCGCTTACTCGTAAGCTGCGGTGTTCAATAACTTTCTTGGCAAGCTACGGGTATGTAAGGTCAAACAGGATGTCGATCTGCGTTTATAGCCACTGCCCCTGCAGAGTTATAACAAATGTGCACCTTCTTGCAAGTTTTGAGTCGATCTTGTATTGACAAGATACGATCTTCACAGCGAGCACGAGCTAACGTACGCATTCTGTGGTGCCAAGTGATTACTATTCTTAGCGTGCAACAGCGGCCCATGCACTTGCACTTCGTTACCAATAAGCATGCTGAAAGTCCTGGTAAGCAATGTGCAACAAGCTTGTCAATGTCCACAAGTGAACCGGAGTATGCTGCGTTTAGCTTGACCACCAAGAGTGCAATCAAGGGCTGATTGCAGTAGTGAGTACGGTAGGTTCCGAGCTGAGCAGGTAATGGAACGCAACAAAACTTACATAAACAAGGACGAAGAATCGAGATGACCATTGCGGTACAACAGTTCGTCAATAACTGAAAAGTACTTCACAAACGCAACAAAGTGGCCGAGTCATGTTGAGACGCGTCGCTTTTTTTCCATCAGGCGGCGGCGCGGGTTTTCTGTGTGTGCTTTTTGCTGGGTTCCTCACGATCCACTGCGGGCCGTACACTCATATTGTTGTCACGGGCAGCCTTTTCATCACAGCGTATCTGCCCCCCATTGACGCGGACAATGACCTCCACGTGGTCCCCACCGGCACTCATCGCGCGCGACAGAAGTTTGCCGTTGCGGTCGTGCTCCTCTTTGCGCTCGTGCGCTGCTCGATCTCCAAGTCGCTCGCGCTCGAGACCCACCGCATGAGGTGCGTCGTCTTGTCGGCCCTCCCTGGCGGATGGTTGGCGTCCGACGGCGTCGCGCAGTTTATCGGCCCAATCGCTGTCCGGTCAACGCGGCCTTTCAGTCGATCCAGTGCGGCGGCACTGCTGCGCTCCGGGGTATGGACACGGACTCGCAGACGCTCCCGTATGTCGTGTGGGCTGCCGACGTCGCTGGTATTGGCGGCCTCCGCCAGCTCTCGATGCGCGGGGGCCTCCCGTGCTACAACCGCGTGGGTGCCCACGCACAGCTCGGATCACTGGAAGAGCAACTGTCAGAGGTGCCGACCGGCGCGACGCTGCAGACGCCCACGGAGCGCGTGCGACTCGTGTTCGAGAGCTGTTTCGACGGTGCCCAGTGGCACTGCGTTTTGCACGGAATGTGGCAAAGCAATGCCGTCAGAAGACGCGAGCCCATACGTGAGCATCTTGCAGAAGTCGTCGGTCACGATGAACAGCAAGAGCCAAGCGCCAGAGCGGTGGCAGTAAGTGGTACACACACATATTTCTAAATATGTGTACATTTATACAGGTAGTAGACGAGCGAGAAGATCGGTAGAGATCGTCTCGATACATGGGTGACGACGTGCTGGGGGCGCAAAAAGCCTTTTTTTCGTTTGTGCGCGCGGGCTTTTGCTTGAATTTGTCCGAGGCGGGGCTTGGGAACAACACAAAGTGTTTTTTGGGCCGTGGTGTTACGTTTTCGCACGGTTGAGTTTACTGCTGGTACGACAGTATTGCGAGGGTTGTACGACTGCTGCGCTCGCGCTGGGAAAGGGGACGATTGACGTGCCTGACGGCGGAGCAGGTAGTTGTTCAGGTGATATGTACACGTCGTCGGGTTGCGTTCATGTGGTAGAGGCTTTTGTGGTGAGTGAGACGTACACTCGGTGGCAGGACGTTGCTTGCTATGGCACTCGAAGGATTGCTTATTGATCGCTTGCATGATACTGCAGTGATGGCATCAGATGTATACTCGATTCGTCTGGATGGTCCAAAGCTTGATCGGAAAGCTGGGAGTAAACGACGCTACGACCGACCGCCCACATGATCAGCATTTTGTCACTGACACGGAAATAGTGTATTCGCGCACGTGCGCTAAGGTGGCACGGTGCATCCACTCGTGCCACCATGAGCTAGCTCCCACAAACATTGTTTTTGCGAGATCTTCCGGTGTTTCATCTACCGTACACAGGAAGCACCCTTCCCCACTTCCCGATTCCTGTCAACACCCGATATCGTATCGCAAGTCTCTTGCTAGCTGCTTGTCTGCATACAGCGACGTGCAGCGACCGGAAGCCAGAGTCCGGCAGTACGTATCGCACATGCGGCGTCCGGCCGTTGTGCCTGTGTCAACGTACCCCTTCAATGCACCATTCGACCGGCCGTGGAGAGCTGGGCTGGTAGAGGCACGCACGCCGCCTATCGTCTTCGGTTAAGTAGACAGACGGTCGCACTATCAAAGCCTGAACATGGCGTGCATGATCAATGAAGTTGCGATCACCGGCCCATCTTTTTCACAATCAACCATGACGACGGTACACACGCATGGCCAAGAGTCCCACTACACAGTGATGTCATCTCAGAGACCCCTTGCTTGATATCAACAGCACAACTGTCGTTAGCAGTGAGGATTATGCTTGCGTGTGTCCGGGGCGTGTAGCATTGATTGTGTCAGAAAACACGGCTTGTCCAGAGCTCAATCAGCATCAGGCGTGTGCACTGTCACACAAGGTGATGAAGCACTGTCGAAGCCGGTGCGACAATCGTCGCAACTTGAAGAAGCACACGGCCCGATCTGATGCTGGGCTGATGCTGACTACCGGTTTGATGACGCAGGACTCAAGAGTCTTTTAGGGATTTGCGCTTGCGTATTACAGGGATCCCCGCTCTCTTGTTTGACGTCGTCGGATAGGTCTGCGAGTTCTACGTCTTACACACTTCCAAATTTGCTCCCTCGTGTACTCATCCTTGGGTCGACGATAACGTTAACCGAAGATGCGTATCTACGCGCTCGCCTTCGCGACTTCCATTTCAATTATGACGCACAACACGAACTCGTCGGTTACATCCAGCTCGGTGACGATACAAACCAACGCTACGGCCACTGGTGATCCCCCTGACCGCCGCTACGATGGCGTCCTTGCCAGCCGGTCACGTAGAGCACAAGAAAACACGACTGGCGAAGAGAGGCAGCCTAAATCGTTGGGAACTGCGGTGGATTTTGCATCTTCTGCACTGTCGAACAGAGTGCATAGAACTGATGCATACTTGCGCGTGCTCCATGAAAATATGCGAGCTCCGAGAAATGCAATAGCTGAATGGGCTGCTTTCAAGCCTCCGATTGCGGCAAAACACAATGAGGCACGCAAGAACAGACGGGTGACAGCGCTACTTGCGCATACTGCCGACATCAATCACGCAAACGATGGGACGAGCAGCGCGGTTGAATCAGTTGGAGCTCGTCAGGCCGAAATAAAGAAACTACGGGAGATAGCTAAAATGATGGACGATGATGGGCACGACGCGATTTCGGAAGCCATCAGAAAGGTAGTCGAAGAAGCCAAGGTCAATGCACTCGCGTCAGTACGCGGTCGTAAAGAAATACCTCCTGAATCTTCGAACCTGTTGGATCTGAGGAGTGACATCACGAGACTGGCCACAAATCCAGGCTCACCGCCCCTATTGCTAGATGAATTGACACGTTACTTCAACGACGACATTTCCCAACTTGCAACTTTTTTCGCGGATGCCAGCTGCAACACGGCTAACAAGGAAGAAGTACGATGCATGCAAACACACCTGTATTGGAAATGGATAAATCAAGGGACGACGATCAGACATGCTGCTGAACTGCTGAAGATCCCGTCAGAGGAGATAGATCTATTCGCGAGCAAAAACTTCGAGACTTGGCTGCGATACATCGCGGTCTACGCCAAACATTTTCGTATTTCTGAAGCCACACGTCAAAAGCATCGCGGCCCACGCCGGCTATCCTCAACTTGCCGTGACTCTCGGCATCAACTATATCGTCTGGAGGTTGATGGAGCTGATTGGCAAACGCAAAACGGCGAGGCTGATTGCTAGAGGAAAGGTGTTGCAGCTGGCAGTATTTGACGTACTGGAGCAAGCGATGTTTGCGCAATGGAAGAAGGATGGATACAGTCCCGACTTATTCTTTGTGGAAATCGAGCAAGCAATTGCTAAAAAACTTACTCTAGGAATCGGCGAGAAAAAGGTTTTTAGTCGGTATGAAACGTATTGCCACTTATGATATAAGTGGCAAGTTGCACGCGCGCCAATCTTTCATGTTTCATTCGGCATTCATCACCTGCGCACAAGGGATAACAATACATAACATCCATAAACTTGACCTGACTTCCAAATACAAAATGCTCGCTTCATTCGTTATAACTTCGAAGAAACTCAACGTTCATCAAAACGCGTTGTGACCCTTAATGTGTTGTACCGCTAGACGCGTGTGTCATTCACGTGTCAAAACGACATCGATTCCACCAGGCAAACGTGTAGGCACGTCGTCGCTGTTCGGGCCAGGGCAGCAAGTTAGCTCTCGTACCATTTGTGTCTTGCACGAACTCGATTTAAGCGGGTCGTTCAGCCAGCCAGGTGCTTGTCATCAGCACCCCACGCATCTCCAGCCGAAGCGTTACTCTACTCAGAAGCAGCCAATTTTGCCAGCCGTCCAACATTCTTCTTGCTTCGTTCGCGTCTTTGGTCGGAACGAAACGCGTGCCGTTGCGTGCCACGCTACGTGTTTTACTTTCGTGTGCTGCTATAAGGTCATTGTTCCTGCTCTTGCTCCATGACGCGTCTTGTCCACACGATGTAACGTTGTTTTGCTGGAAAATAGTGAGACCATAAAATATGTATCAACGATGGACGACATCTGGACAGCTTTTGTATCTCGCTTGTCGTTTCGTACTGGTTTTATGTTTTTTGCAGTTCTCGATTCACGTCGTAATACATATTTGTCTCGTCGTTCAATTAAGTACGTCTTTAGGTTCCCTCGATATTACTGTCAACGGAGGAATGCAACGACGTGTTTGCGCAAGCGTACAACTGGACATCTGGGCTTCGAGGTAAGTGAGTAACGTTTGTCAACGATAAGAAGATGGATGGCCTGAAAATAAGGGGATCAAGTCGATGCCGAGCACGTACTGCAGCGCAAGTAGCACAAGAGATCGCAACGACGACAGTGGATAAGCCTTCGAGGTGAATCGATTCTCAGCTGTAGCATATCCGCACGTACATCAGTACAATGTCGTTTGTGGACCCCTAGCACGCGAAAGAAGGCGGTGTGCACTCGAGGGACAATGGCCGCAGTATCCGCTTGATGGACTCTGGCGTGCAAGGCCTGAACGACAAGATGGGGCGCGGACCACGAATGGATTGCAGGGGTCTGCAACTACCACGAGCCGTCGTTTCGGTCGTTCGCCACGTCGACGTGCTCGATTGCGAACCGAGCAACGGAGCCCGTTAAGGCGCCAAATATCCATCTGCAAGTACAAGATGTCGGGCAGTGGCCTGTTCCACGTGTTTTACTTTGGCACGGCGGCTACGGGTGTTATATGGCTGTGCTGCTTGACGACGATGTACCCGCAGCAGTACTTTGCGACCACGCGCGGCCGACGATACCGTGCGACATACACGTTGCCAGCTGGTGAGACGGACGGGTGTTTCAGCTCGACGGTCAAGTTGGACGCAGACTCGGGCGATGGATAGTGTATCTGGAACGTGCCGTTTATGTCGTGGGTCATGTACGCCATGATGATTTCAGCGAGTTTCTCAATTTGTTTTTGGGACTGCTGTTCAACTTCAGTATGTGGCGATTGATTCGTCGTGGTACGCGGTACATGAACGACTTGAAGCCGCCTGTTCACAAGGAATAGCGGCCGACGGTCGGCATCTTTTTGTGTCACTACATGGAACCGGTCACGGATTTGATGCAGACATTGAAGAACTGTCTTTCGCTGCTGCATGCGCCCGAGCTCCTCGACATCTTTGTGCTGGATGACGGTTGCACTGAGACTGTGTGGGACGCGAACAACCACTTCAAGGTGGCGGTGAACACCAAGGTGATTGAGATTTGGACGCGAACAACCACTTCAAGGTGGCGACGAACACCAAGGTGATTAAGATTTGGACGCGAACAACCACTTCAAGGTGGCGGTGAACACCAAGATGATTGAGATTTGGACGCGAACAACCACTTCAAGGTGGCGGTGAACACCAAGGTGATTGAGATTTTTGTGGTGACTTGCGCGGAGATCTTGCGCGACTCATGCGGTGGGCCTATACAGGACGAACAAAGCTTGAAGACGTGGTGTCGCCGGCACAGCTCTGTCCGTGAACTCCGCAAAAAGAGTGGCAAGGATGTGCAGCGTCGTGATTGTGCTGTCGGCTTGCTTTCGGACGACTACGACTACCGTGAGCGTGGTATCCCACGTGTGACTTTCATTGGACGAATGAAGTCCGAGATGCACCACTCGATAGCTGGTACATGAACAATTGCTTGTTCAACGAAGGTGCTGACGGCGAGTCTTGCTGATTCTGGGTAACGACATGAAGCCGTATCCGACGCTTTTTGCTTGCGGTGGTGTTGTTCTTCTCCTTGTCGGAAGGCGAGGCTGTCGACGGTGTCGTACTTTCAGTACAGCGACGATATTTCGATGGACCCAGATGTCGTACGTGCAGACTCCTCACTACTTGGAGGACACGCCTCAGTTGACAGTCATGGGTGATCCGTGCGGGCACAAGAATACCATGTTCGTTGACGCTGTGCAGCGTGGCCGTGATCGTTTCGACTCGGCAGCTCTTGCCGGCCTGAATGCTGTGTTCTGTCGCCAAGCCTTCGACTCGATTGGTGGCATTCAGTACGGTACTCAGTCTGAGGATGCGTTTACGGGAACGTGGTCCACACTTCTGGTTGGGACTCGGTGTACTTCCGCAAGGATTTCGAGGGCGATGCCAAGGGCCGTATTCGATTGTGCGGAGGTGCTATTCCTGAGACAGTAGCTGCTGCTATGGGCCAGAAGAAGCGTTGGGCAAAGGGTGGTGTGCGGATTCTGCTGATGCAAAATGAGCGCGACGTCGACCCGGACTGGCGTCCTCCGCGCGTGCCTGCCCCAGGCCTGAAGCCATCTCTTGCGTTCCCGCGCAAGATGATTTTGTACGACTCGGTGCTGTACCCGTTTCTGGTTCGACTCCTGCCCTGCGTTACGTCGCGATCGCCGTCTACTACTTGTGGACATGTGACGCGCCGATATACGCTCGTGGAAAGAAGATCCTGTACTCTTTCTTGCTATTGCCGTTCTGCCGTTGGGTGCTGAACCTGCTGGCCAACCGCGCAGTTGACAACAACGACGTGTGGCGTATGCAGCAGGCATGGCTTTCGTTCTCGTTCATTACGATGATGGCAGTTTTGAGGCCATCCAGGCGCGTGTGACGGGTAAGGACAAGTCAAGGGCAAGCACGGGTGCTGGTCAGAAGACGCCGTGGACAGAAATACCGGATGTGCTTTTCTTCTTCACGCTGCTGTTTAGTCAGCTCGTGGCACTCGTTCGTTTCTTCGAGCACGACTACGCGACGAATCTGTGGAACTACGTGTCTGCCATGTTCTGTGGCTTTTTCGTCATGAGCCAGTACTACCCCATGGTCAAGATGAGTATTCCCGAGTACTGCGGCTGGGGCCATACTGCTGCCACCTTTACGGCGAATGTGTTTGGCTCGTTGCTCGTGGTCTACAGTGTAGTCTTCGTGCAGCTATGGTAAGTCGACTACGCGGGCAATCTCCAGGTGGCCCAAGGCATCGTCGCAGGCGCGAATGACCCGGCGGCGGCGACGAACTGGACGCACCGGATTGTGTCGCAAAGACGCGGATGGTGTTTGGTCGACGAGGAGCAGAAGGAGACACAGGATGCGATGCATGCCGAGCGCAGGTGACGAGAAGCGGTGGTGTGGTCTATCTGGCGAGCCGGAGACGCGCTCGCAAGTGCGCGCTGCCGTCGACGCTTTCCCTCTAGTACTTGAGGTGTCATTACAGTTTGCTGTCAATGCCGAGTTGTCGATCCTTGCGATGTGGGCACTGCTGTCCATCCTCTCGTGCACTTGTGTTTGGTCCGCACGTGGTAATGGCGTCAAATGGTATGTGTACTGGAGCATACGCGACGTTGGCCACCTCTGCTCGCCCGCCTTTGGTCGGACGGACGTGCAGTGAATCGTTACGTGTTGTGGTCGCACTTGTACTGAGGATGTAGGAAGTGAAAGTAATATATGTTGAGAGTAAATTACAGTCGGTTGTTAACCATACCTTTTGCACTTGATCAAGTCAAGTTACACCTGGTACGCGTTTAGCATACCCATCACCATGTGCTGCTGGTCTTAAACAATGTCGTCCGGATATCGCTGTCCCACTTATGATCTCCTCCTGATAGTCCGACATGACGACCCTCTTCTCTCGACCCATATGTCCACCAGTCACATCTTCGTCCTACCTGTCAGCTTATTAGCCAATCAGGTGAGATCGGGACGTACCTGTAACAGGTCTTGCAGTTGAACACGGGAACTTCGATGACCTGTCAGAAAGCATATCTTCCAACACGTGCCTTGCTATGACGCTTTGCAAGGGGTACGAATGCCGCAGCGTAGCGCCTATTTGCTTGTTTGTTCGAGCATGGACTACTACACTGTACGGCAATCGACGAGCACGGAAGAAGCTACTTTTGCTCAAGAGAAGACTAACGTTAACAAGCCAACTGCAATCGTAATAATACACTTCGTTTTGTTACTCACTTCAATAAGAACTACGTTTTCTTTTGTCTTTCATGGGGCTATCGACACCTATACGCTCTAGAACCGTAGGAGCCAAGCACACCAACAGCACGCGTGGCAAGCAATCGCAATGATGACGAAGAGTAATGAGTCTTCATCAGTCACTGCGAATGCATGCCACGCTCAACTTCGTCCAAAAACACGCCACGTTCCACAGCTTCAACGGGGGTAATGAGCCCCGAAGAATTGCAGATCGCAACGCATTCTCGAACAAAGTCTGCTGCCATGCCTTGACCGCACCACGTTCCGGAGCCTTCGGTGAGCGATGAGCTCCGGGAGACGCAACAGAGAGCAATGGGTCTCTGGAGCGCCAATCCCGGAAGCTCCGTTGCCCTCTTCTGGCAACGTGTGTGTGGCTTAACACCCGTTGCCCAGCGCGATGCGTCTTCCTCCAGTCTTCACGCGCGTCTGTTTTTTTGCTGACGGAATCCTTGAAGCACCAGTGCCGGCAGTCGCAGCAATGATCGCACGGGCAGCAGCAGTGGATTCCACACGCGCACGAGTGGATACTGTGCTCGCAGTCACACCAACACGCGCTCGAGCAGTAGTCGCTGGACGAACACGCGCACGGGAACCAGCAGTAGGCCCAGCGCCCACTCTCGCAGCGACGTCCTTGCCGCTTGCAAGCACACGAGCGCGTTCATCTTGGCCGGTTCTGATTTCCTCGCGAGGCGTCATGCTAGTCTTGGATGGCGTCGCGAATGTCTTCTCGGGTGTCTTCTGTTGCATGGGTGCCTTGTTCGCGCTCGTCGCCTCCGTACTGCTGTCTTGGAAGTCCTTCTGCTGCAGCACCAGCTGCAACTTGGACTCGCGCTGGACCTTGAGCTGGCCTTGCGTGGCCTTCAGCAGCTGCTTCTCCAGTCTTGCACTTGTGGCCTCAGCCTTTTCGGCGCGTTTCCGGAGCGCCAGCACTTCACTCTCCATCTTGCGCCGCGACTCGATACCTTCGACTCGCTCGTTTTCTACCACCCTTGCCATGTCCGCTCGCAGCGCACTGAGGCGCGTCAGCGAAATGACTTGTTCCTGTAGCGCGTCGTTCGCGCGTTGGAGCTCGCTGCACGAATGCAAGATTGCTTTGCATGTGCTTTGGATGAACGTTTCCGTGGTGTTCATTGCGAATGGGAGAGCAGAATGGAAAATGACAAAGAAGCACGCGGGGCGGCGGCGGAGTGGTCATGGAAAACAATTCATTCATATACGCTAAGAAACATGGATATGGAAAATGGACTACTTCAACTGTAAGAGAAGTGGCCTGAGACGCGGCGGTGAGCCAAGTTCAAAATGAAGTTAAATGGCGCAAAAAACGGGCGCGTGAGTGGCGGCACATGGGACACGGCATTCATTTTATACTAAATGAGACGACGGAGTCGACGAGACCAAAAGATGTGATGGGTTGACCCGTGTGAGTAGGTTTTATTGGTGTTTAAGGTAAGAGAATGCTGATGTGTGGTGATTAGAGGCAGTTCTGGACGGCTCGACAGAAAGATTCATGCTGCCAGCTATCGTTGTGCTGTATAGTTTGCTGTGTCGAACGGCAATTAAGTATGTTCGCAACTTGACAAAGCACATGTTGAACTGATGCTACGACTCGTGTTGACTTTCGCACTAACGCTCACTTTGGCGTTCTGCACCAAGAAGGCGTCGTCACAACGCTGCTATCGCTATCCTCAAACTTGACGCTGACATCGTCGTATCTGCTTGCTGTCTTGTCTCCCTTGACTTGACCACGCGACTATCAGCTTCCCTTGACTCCCTTGCCGGCAATGCCCCATCGCTCATCAGGTCCCACGCACTCGTCCCACGTCGCCCAATGTGCCCCATGACGTGCTAACGAACTTCCGCCGCGCAATGTCATAACCTAACACGGAGAAGCATCCGGATCCCATAGACCAGCTTGTCTGTAAAAGCAACAGAAATGTCCACAAGCTCACAATGTTAGTCAGTCGACTCGGTTCCAATCGCATACGTTGCCATCATCCTTATATGCTATATAAAAGACACGAAAGTCAGAGCGAGAAAAACAGACTGCAGCTTCGTCGCAAGATCACATGCCATACTACACCAGCCCGCAAAGGATAGGCAAGCTCGACAAGCTACGAGAGTGAGTGGCCAGGTCTACAATGTAGCCTGGAAAATTCTACGGGTTTCTGCACAGGAGTCCGCGACCGAGGACGGATGGAACCATATTTCGGCTTGCGATGTCATCAACAGCAGAAAATACAGCAGCGTTCAGTCGATCTCCATCCCTTTTCGGACTGTAATGTCTGATTCTCGCTTCCCGTCCGTACCAGGCAGAATACTCGGTCTGCGTCAATGGTGAGCGACGCGAGCAATTCAATCACTGTTTCGTTCAGACCCCAGCTATGTCGCTATCAGCAAGCCCTTTACTATCACCATGCGATTGATGCTGAGACATCGTGATATCACTTCAGCGAGCAAAGCAAAATGGGGTGGAAAAAGCAGCGTGTAGCTTTTATATCCACCCTGCATATCTCTCGTGCTGCCTCTGGAGCAGTATCATCCTGATTTACGAAGTCCTCGGCATGCTTACCTTTCAATTGCCAAACGCTCGACCCCGCAATAGTTGACTTTTGTTGAGCCTCGTCGGGACTAAGAAGTCCACTGCACACGCTTGACCGTTGTAGCAAGCGACTCAGCTATATGTACTTCTCGGAACGATTTGTGAGAGCCAGCACTCCCACATGCACTGACACACAAAGGATCTACTGAACCTGCATAGCCAGCTTGTAGCCAATCCAATCTCTTTGTGACTTGCGCCCGATCAAATCATACCCACGCAAATCTTGTTCTCATGTCTTGCTGTTACTCCATACGTATCCGCAAGGCCCGGTATCGCTAAAAATGCTTGTCCAGGGTCAGTGTGGACCTGGGCACGACCAATGACTCTGCGCCCTTCACAATACCCGTCAAATTCTGGGCATTCGTACACATGATGTGAAAGAGCCCAAGTCACATATACTGCATACGCAGTGGCACTGGTATACCAATTCTTAGCTCAACGTGTCAGCCTTCCCGAGTACTGGTACCAGGAGTGCCAAGCGTACTGAGCGGTGTGAAACTGGCCTTTCACGCATGATCGGCGTGACAATGCTATTTTAACATTTAAAGCCTTCAAAGCTTAATGCTAAACATCGTGTAAGCAAAACTTTGATTCAGCCTCGTACACTCCAGCGAGACAGACCCAAACTATCTCCATTAATCAGTTACACATGCTGTAGAATCATCGGAGCACAGTCGTCATGCAGCAAACAGGTGGCAGTAGTAATCACATCATAGGGTCTAAAATGCATCGTTGTTGCTCGCAATCTCACGCGGCGGCAATGTCCAAAGATGCACACGCGTTGTACAACGATCACTTCTTCAGTCGTGGCGGATAAATACGCACGACCATCATCACGCCGGTCGGGATGTCACCACATGTAGCTGTACGCATATTCAGCACCGATAAGCTGCTTTTGCTGTGATGATACCCCATCGATCAACCTCAACAGCTTGAGGCTGCATCAAAAGTGTCCGACGCGTATCAATACATCTCAACAAAGTCTCGTACATTCGCCATCGTGCCTCCACATCCTTAGAAGCCGACGCGATCCTTGCCAGCCTTGACAAACGGTCTCTCGATCTCACCTTCATCCGTATCCTCCTTATGACAAGTGACGCATCGCACGCGGCAGCCTACAGCATCACGTGCTTCTCGCTCATCTCCGAACAGCCCCGGAACAATGGCGAACGGGTTCCTTTCAGTTGCACTTGTCTCGCCCTTAAGACGCTCGAATCTTCCACTTCGGGCAGCACTTGGCGCAAGTGCATCATTTTGTGCATCGACAGCGAGTACATTGTCGGTAGAAAGCTCATCAGTGTCGCTTGACACTTGTTTGTCATCTGGAAGTGGTATCGGTGCCTGGACAGCTTCCGGATCA